ACTTTCCCTTTAGCTTTACTAAACACGTGTCATCTTCTCATTGGTCCATCTCTATTTCCCTATATCATCAAGGGTTCTTAATTACTTTAAACCCGTCAATTAATTAATGCTCTGATCGATTGTTTGATGTCTAAAATATAACAACAACAACAAAATAAATAAACAAGAGATTATTCTACTTCTTCTCTTTTCTTGAAGTTTCATCGGATCGACTTGACTCTGCAGTTTTTGTACAAAACCGATTTTATTCAACTGGTGTTAGACCAGATCTTTCTTTAGTGGTTTGTCTCTCTGTGTTTAAATTTTGTTATGTGTAGTTATGAATACGTTTTACTATCTTTTGTTTAATTTGAAATAATAATGGAAGATTAGAACAATTTTCCAGTTTCAATTCATTAAAATACTCACTTGGTGATGACATTAACATTCCATTTTATTTATTGATATTGTTTTGAATAATATGTCGATCTAAAAATCAACGGATAGGAAACTTGAGTGGGTACCAAGGGCTCATCGCAATCCCACAGCGTCCTTCCGAATTAACAGTATCTCTCTCGATCCTGATATAGCCTCCCTCACCCCAATGTGGACCGTATGAATTTTTCGCAATCCAATACTTTCTTCCATCTAGGTCCGACCCGTACCCGACCACTGTCATCGCATGGGTCAAAGTTGTTCCACAGTTTTTCGTAATCACTCCCTGCAAATTTTAAATTTAATAAGGATCATAAATATGTAAAATTTTAAAGTTGTAAGATCACAAATATGAGCAATGTAAAGTTGGTCTAAATTCAAAACATGATAGATATGGTATAGGTAAAATATTTGGACTACAAAACTAGATTTTGGTTGGTTTTTTTTATTATCTCTGAATAAAATCTAAAATCTTTGTGAGTAGCGTCAACTCTAACCGATATAGGCTGGCTTGCAACAGCCTTGAGGAGGGCTCTCTCGTCGTTTGGAGGTACATATCCATATCCGTCAATTGTTACTCTCACACCTTTTGCTGATGGGTCGCATTCTCCTTGAATAGCTTTGTACGGGTAGTTTTCTTCGGTGGTGATTCCACCATTCTTTTTTATAAATTCGAAAGCGCTTCTTGGGAAACCTCCTGCATAACCATTATCATTGGCGCTGCAGTCAATTAGTTCTTGTGCAGACAACGATACCAAATTGTTTGTCCTTATGTAGTTGATACCCTCAATAGCTGTCACGGCAGCGAAAGCCCAGCAACTTCCTAGTAATGGTAAAAGAACATTTAAATGATTAGATCAACAAAAATTATAGTTTCAGTTTGATTCAACAAATATCAATACTATATCAAGTCTTTCAATTCTTTCGTAAAACAAATGAAAATTAATTGAATTACTATACAAAAATATCTTCTATCAATCGTTGTACAAAAATAGAATTTCTTAAGCAAACTATCATTTCTTAGACTTACCACACTTTCCTTGATTTTTCACATTGGTGACAACCCCTTTTTCTCTCCAATCCCACAAATCGGGGGCTTGGTCCATATCTCCGTAGGAAAATGGAGTTGCGCCAGTTACAAACTTTTGGTCTCCCATAACCGTACACGAATGTCTATGCAAGAACTCACTCTCGCGGAGGTCCGCGAATTGGTTTAGCTTTAGTCGGTATGTCTTGTTCTTCTTGTTCGTGTTGAGGACGTATTTTGCATTGTCTCTAAA